ACTTCCCTTAACTCGGGCATCTTTTCAGCATTATCTTCTTCAATTAGCCATCTGGCCAGTCAGCTAGTCAATATGTCTTCTGAAACTTTGGTTGCAGGCAACAGAAGTTTGGGTAAATATATTGAAGAACAAAATGACAGTTATGTTTGTGTGCCTTCTCCATCCAATCCGAGCCCAAATAATGGGAGCTATTATAGTGGTGGATACATAACAAAGACTTTTGGTTCCCGTAGTTCTGGCACCATCGATGCCATTCAGCTTGAACTACCTCAGTGGGTGAGGGCAGCTGAAGAACGTCCCAGATTTTGTAAAGCACTAGCAAGGGCTGTAATGAAATTCTGGCAAACTAACTACTGCAGCCAGCACAACCACGAATTTCTACCATGCTGAAAAGAGGCTGTCTTGTTAAGATACCTTTCAGTAACACAGTAATGATCTCTAACAACAGAACAACTGATACACGTGGAACATTTAAGCCTGCAATGTAATTGTGGATGCTAGTGGAAAGAAACTAACCTGCAAAGGAATACAGAGACATTGATGTAGAGAAAATCCACTGCCAATACCAACAAGTCTGTTAAAACACAGCTTTCTACTAGATCCAGCATTGAAAATACTGCTTGAAGATGAGTGGGTATATTTGGAAGTATCACTTGCCTGATCTGCTTTCCTGTGCTTAAGTTCTTTCCAGTAGCATCCTCTGTTCTCTAGCACATAATAAAAAACTATTCTTCATCTCATGAATTCAGTGCAGCGCCTTAGTAGTTTATCTGTTCAACAAAATGAAGTGTCTCTGCTTTTCTTGTGACATTTAAGACAACTGGATAGTATCATTGTGTAAAATGTTTGGGGCCAGGACTGGTTTCCATTTGGTGTTTATAAAGCCCCAGCAGTTGGAACAGTAAACAGTAATGCTGAGCAACGACATGCAGTCTGAACTACTTCAGGTTTTGTTAATTTAATGAATTATGGAAAAAATGTCTGAGAGCATTATAGCACTGTGATTTTGCCACAGTTTAAATAGCACAACAGCAAGGCAGTAACTGGATAGAAGGCTGCTAAAGACAACACATATGTGCTTTTTTGACAGTTTTTCTTATAGCATGGTTCCCTTCTGAGACCTGGTCCATTGAACATAGGATTAAACACTTGTTTTTTCTGGGAATAGTATTATATTATGGATGGGCTCTTCTGCAGAGTGGAAAGTATAGTGGTATGAATAAACGTGAGCAGAGATCAACTCTTGCAAAACACAGGCAATTAATAAGGAAAACCAAATGGAGCTGAAAACCAAGAAGGCCAGCAGATTGAACACTGTTCATCACCAGTAATATAGAAAACCCACTATTTCCCTCAAAATAGTAGGCAATAATGACACTAGTTACATGGATTACCCTATATTCACTAAAGTGACACACTTGGCAAAGATTTGTACCTTTAGCCGTACAAAGGATGATAGAATGTTTTCTGTGACCTGTGCCATGTTGTGACACTGTCCTGGGATGCTGAAATGCCAGGAGGAATTCAGGGAATCATGACAGATAATTAATGGAGTATGAGCTGAGCACATACTCTTCTGGCTTAGAGGATGCTCTTTGAAAGCATAAGCAAGGAACTAATAGGCAGAAAGAGCAGGGCATATTAACTCTGTTGTGTTATCTGATGCTTATAAGATTATGATTATAAATGGAGTTCAGAGGCAGCACTTAAAAAAAATAAGACAACCACTGTCATCTAAAGAGATAAAAGGGTACAGAAATCTTCCTTGCAGTGAGAATCACAAAACTCAAATTACAGGTAACTGTGCTGTCAAGAGTAATTGGGAGGCTGATAGAACCTGGGTAGAGAAAAGCATCATTTTTGTTTTGCTTCTGCTTTCAGAGCATCTTACAGAGCATGAGGAGTAGTTTTTCTGTATCACACCCTCTTGAGTTTCTGTTTCATAGGGGATTTGGGTGGGGAACAGAACCAGAGGCCCTGGGGAGCATCTGCAGGGATACTGGAGTCAGACCTGTGCAGAACCTATTGGAGCTGACAGAGCTTGGTATTTCAGTGCGAGTGTTAGTTCAGACCTGAGCTGGTTCCTGAAGCCGCAGGGTACTGCCCATCAGCTAAAATGCCCAGCCTGCTCTCAGCTCAGGCAAGTTGACTGCATCATGGAGAGCAGACTTTGATTAAAAAGAATAATCTCTGGAAAGGATTTTTGATGGTCAGTGAAGCTTAATCTGGTGAAAAAAGCATAATATCCAATATATAAAACTCCAAACTGGACAGATTTGGAGCAGCAAAAACCTATGGTTTTGACATGGAGAATAACTGGCAGCAAATGTACATTAAGAACCCTAGGATGCACCCTTCCACTGGAAACCAGAATTGTAAGACAAATAGGCATTTGGACACAGAAGATACTCGTAACGGTTTCTCTGCCTTCTGTCACCCAAAGGGTTAGACTGGATGATACAGTCAATCTCCTTTGGCAGTAAAATTCCTACAGCTTTCTGTCAGAGTGTATAACCAATTTTATCCACTCCTGATGACTGAAGTTGCTGCAGCATCTTCCCTAAGGAAACAGATGTGTAATGTGAGATCTCAGGCATGAGTGTTTTCTTTTACATAATATATACTACACTGGTCCTAGTTAAGATCTGTCTTGGGACCATAATGAATTCTTAGATGTTGAGAGGTCTCTCCATTATTTCAACAGGAATGTTTTTCACATAAACCCAAGATCCATTCCCCTTTTGCCATGTGCTTTCCCAAGCAGAATGGCAGCTCATTATGCAGCACAGGATGAAAGATGCTGTTCAATATGAAACTATTATTACCTATGCTAGTTAAAGATTTGGATTTCCTATTTAACTTAAAATAGAGAATAAAGCATAAGAATAGCAAAGCCTCTGACATTACTGTGCCACAGAGGAAGGAATCAACCTATGTATTGATTGCTTCAATGTTGGTGAGTACATCAGTTTCCAACATTTGCCAGTTCTCCTGCGGTGCTACCCAAAGGTTCAGTTTTACATTAAGGATTCAGTCAGGGTCCAATCCTAAAAAATAGACTTTCCATTAACATAGAATCAGAATTGTCAGGGTTGGAAGGGACCTTAAAGATCATCTAGTTCCACACCCCCACCATGGGCAGGAACATCCCCCACTAGATCAGCCTGCTCAGAGCCCCATCCAGCCTGCCTGCTCAGAGCCCCACCCAGCCTGGCCTTAAAAGCTGGCAGGGATGGGGCTTCCACCACCTCTCTGGGCTACCTGTGCCAGTGTCTCACCACCCTCATGGTGAAGAACTTCTTCCTAATGTCCAGTCTGAACCGATCTGTCTCTGGCTTTAATCCATTCCCTCTAGCTCTATCACTATCCGACATCCTAAAAAGGTCCCTCACCAGCTTTCCTGTAGCCCCCTTGAGATACTGGAAGGCCACAATAAGGTCCCCAGACTGAACAGCCCCAACTCTCTCAGTGTGTCTTCACAGGAGAGGTGCTCCAGCCCTCTGATCATCCTCGTGGCCCTTCTCTGGACACGCTCCAGCACGTCCATATCTTTCTTGTGCTGTGGGCTCCAGAACTGGACGCAGTACTCCAGGTGGGGTCTCACATGAGTGGTCTCCCAACTGCATCCAGTTATGGAGCCCATAAAATCAACCAGAACAACATTGTTACTAGCCTCTCATTAATAAACACCCACTGGTGGCTGCTGAAAAGGAGTATGATTTCTGATCACCCTAAAATATGCTAAGTCATTTTTAGAGATGTTTGTCTTGTTTACAACATTTCAGTGTAAGGAGCTCATATTGAATCACAATAATGATAAAATAATATTATTATAGTTTCACCTTCATTACACCCTGAACCATATATTGACCTTCCTTTAAATGCAACTACCACGTCCTTGGCTTGGTTGTGCTGTAAAATAAAAATGATGAAAATAATTGGGGTTAATTGAGATGGCCTAAGGTGGTTTTTACTATTTTAAATCTGCATAGCTAAGATTTAAACTGGTGCAACAAGGGATCAGAATTTGGCCCAAAAAACCTGAACTGAGAGGCCGTAAATCGATCAGGAAAAAAATAATTAAAAAAATCTTGTCTACATAGAGTTTCCTTACCGTTATATGTTAGTGCATTTCTAAAACAAAGTAGCATAAATCAGAAAGAATCTGAGCTGCTGAAAATGATTGTTTTGGGTAGTATGGCCATTCCATTCTGTTAATAGTTCTGGTCAAGGCATCTTCTGAACAAACAAAAATATTGGCACTAAAAGATATTAGAATGATAATTTTGAAGACTTGTCCGCATAGCATTAACAAAACAATTGCAAGGAATTTTGCTTGGGTTTTGCTTTTTCTGTTTCTGTAATTATGTTTAATTAATATGAAGACAGCTCAGGTGAAAGTAGTGTGCAGTTAAAGATGGCATGTTCTACGATCCTGTGACCTAAATCCAGGTATCTTTAAATTAGGCTATTCCTCGTTAGTTGAACCTAGTTCTAAATCTTCCTTCTGTCTTATCTCCACATAATTAACAAGGAAATCTTAATGTTTCTGGAAGAAGACATTAGACTAGGATACTGTGGCATATGTGTGCTACCTATGGAACACCCCATCAACTCTTGGCCTATCTATGGATGCCAAAGCTCCTGAGACATCAGAGAAAGGTTAGAGTAGTACCTCTGGAAAAAAAAATCTTGTTCTTTGGAGAAGTCTGTATGGCTAGCCAAAGAAGCATTTTTGCAGATTTATGGTTCTGAATCTTTAAGCAGTTAATCAGGGTAAGGTTCTTCTTTTCCCTGAGTATCTTGTTGTAATTATGCACTAGCTTTAGAATTTCTTCTCTGCATGAAGGACGGGAATAGAAGTAAAGATTTGATTTCTATGTGCTCAACAATGAAATGCATTTAAATATAACAGAAAAAAACAGGAGAAAAAAAAATGAAATAAGGAGTCTGCTAATCCACTCTCCTGAAGATGGATACTATGTTTATTTGTCTTGACCCTATTCTCCGCTGAAACCTGTCTTCATTGTCTGGCCAGTAGGACTCGATATCTCAGCTTTGTTCCATTGAAGGCCTTTAAAAAATAAATAACAAAATTTCAAGAACTAATTAATATATTAAGGTCAACAGATGACTTTGATAGCATTTTGTAACAGCACAGGTAAAAAATTACTTGTGCATGAGCTCACAGAAAGTTTGATATTATTTTACTGTAAATCCATTGCCATTCCATTGGCTTCAGTGTATTTGCGTCTAACTTGCCAAGGCACAAGATGCCCTGTATTTTATTTTCTTCTTCTGGAAGGGAACAAAACATAGACTTCCTAGGCACATTAATGGTGAGAAGAATAGCATATGTGCCATATGCTCCTAAGTCTTCTGTTTACTGAGATACTCTGTAATGCTGCATGCACAAGCATTAAAGTCACACATATCTGAATGCAAAACACACTATTCATCCCACTTAATGAGCCATCTAGATGTTATGGGTCTCATCCAAGCTAGTTATCTAGGTATCCTCTATAGAAAGAAATCAACACCTCTGCTAGGGGTGATCCCTTGTGGGATAGACAAGGCTGTGGACATTCTGGTCTTTCTTCATAGAACAAAAAACCTAGGAAGCCTTGCTAGACAGCTTGCAGAAAATCAAATCAATAGTACCCATAAAACAGTATTAACTCAGAATAGCCAAAGCTTTGTGCACATAAAAATCATTAGTTTTGAGGCGGGCTAAAAGAGTTGAGTCTGAGGAAAAAATTCATGACATGAGCTTGAACAGGAGAAGTAAATGTCTGGAATACTCACTTTGCAGCACATTCTCTTCAGTTGGCTCCTCAAGCTTTCACCAAATGGAGAATGGAGTTGGATAGGTAGTAATATAAACCATGTTGAAAAATTAAATTGAGAAGCAGTTAGTTAACAATTGAGTGTCAGAGTATGTGATTGTAATAATTCAGTAGCACTAATGCCTTCTGCTCTATGAATGCCATCACAGAATGAATGCTTACCTCATATATAGAAAGACATCCAAATACCACACCAGTCTCTCTGTATTCAGACTCAAATTTTTCCAAGAGTTGTCTGTACATCTGACCAAGGGAAGCCAAAATCAGTGCATTACTAACTGAAGACAAAAGGTAATGAAGACATTACTACGTTTATTGAATTGCATGTTCCCGAAACATGTAACATGTTCCCCAAATAAATGTATATTGTAACTATGTGGAGAGATTATTGTTTATGCATAGATTTTCTTTGTGCCATGTAAAGGATGCCTTGAACTTTTTTTTTTTTTTAAATTAGGAGGGGATCTCTCTGCTATAGAAAACACATAATCAGGAAAATTCCAGCTTCCCAAGGGACACAAAATCAAGACAGTTAACAGCAGAATGCTTTTTATCACCTAAGTTAAACCTAATTTTAGTTTTCTCACCTATTGCCCTTGGATAAGGTCAATAAAGGAATCATTCTCCTGATACTTGTCAGGTGTGGTTGGTTGCATGTGCTATCATAGAAGAGTGGAAGTCTAGCCAAGAGGTAATGGAGTAAGAACTCCTTCCCAGGTGATAACTTCATCACAGGACTGTCAGTCTGGCTACTCTTCTGTTGGGCTTTGCACATCACAAACACTCCAGTAGCCAGTTGGGAAAGATGGAGATGAACAAGACATTTCTGCTGTTAACTGTTGAAAGCTTTAAATCTGTGAAAACACCCAGGTACCTTGACACTCACTTGAATCCTAAGACTTACCTAGGTATTACACTTATGGACAGGGCAGAAAATTATACTGTCTTTACATGATATAACTGTGATTTCACTCCAGGAAGCCAATTTATGGTCCTCCAAAAAGGAAAAAAAAACCCCGTACCTATAGCTTGAAATACTGCAGAGAACTCTAGTTTCTGTCAAATTTGAAAACTAGTTTAATTTGAAATGTTACATTATACAGACATTTCTACTGCCATTTTTTTATGCTCTTACTAATACATTACTAAATGTGCTGCGATAGCAACAGTTTAAGAGATATCAGATCTTCAACAATGCGAAACATGCATGAAGGAATCTCTTCCAGTGTGTGTCTATCAATTCTAAGCATTACACATGTGCATTAATTACTAAGTTTTACCCATTTCAGAAAGATAGGACAACTAAATTATGGTGAGCTGATCAGCCACTGAATAGTATACCTCTTATCTGAAGTACAAACTGAAGCCACAGAATCACAGAATCATGGAATCATTGTGGATGGAAAAGACTTTTAAGATCATCAAATCTAAACATTACTTTGTAGTGGATGCTTCTACAGCACAAAAGCAGCAACATCAGTTTCCCCGTGATTTAAACACAGGCTGCTCTGGAGACTGTGCAGCACCTGTGATTAGTATAACTGTGACTTAAGGGAGCTCACCAGCTTGTTTCTGCCTTGGAGTGAGATGATGAAATCTCTCAAAACTGCCTGTTCAACTACCGTTGCTTAGCAGCAAATAATCCATTAGCTTCAAATAGTCAGGCACCCAGACCAGGTGAGAGTTGATTTTGTATCCTTGAGGTTGCAGTCAGCAAGGACATGTGAGAAGGGAAGAATTGGCTGGCAAGATGGGGCAATAAACAGTGGAGAGGTATGTTCCACTTACCTCATCAGCCTCTCAGCCAAGGTACACGGAGAAGAGTAGCTGGTCACATGGAGCAATGTTATCTTTTACTAACTCCTGTTTGGACCTTAGTTGGCTACATTAGGGTATCAGATTGTGGCAGTACCACAGATTTTAGGAGAGGATGATAAGATTCATACCTCTCACTAGCTGTTGACTACTAACCTTTGGGGAAGAATGGTCAGAAAGGTGTTAACGGAAGCTTTCTGGCAAGTGGCCGTAGGATCTGTGTATTTTTCTTTTTCTGCTACAACTGCAAGAGAAGTTTTATCTGTTCCCATGATTTTTAAGGGGTAAGGCAGGTAGAGATGGAGTTGCTCCACCATTTGTAGTTATCTTAACTAACTCAGAACTCTCCTGGTTTCTGATTTCATGGAAACTCTGAAATAACTGTTATGTAACCAGGGATTCACTGTTCTAGTATTTTCAAACGTCCTTCGAGTAAACTTAAGATGTTTAGGATTTCTATGGCAGCATATGAAAATCCTAGTTTTTTTAAAATGCTGTTAAACCAAACAAATGAGTCGGTGTGTTCTACCTTCTAAACTGGAATTTAAAAGTGTGAAACAATGAGAATGAAATCCAGAGAGATTTTTTTGATCCTTCTATTTATGCATTTTAGTACTACCTTTTCCACTGAATGAGAAAAATAGTGTTATTTATGGTGAATTTTTAAATGAGAAATACAATTGCATTTCTTATATGTTGCACAGAACAACAAAAAAGTCATATATATTAGGTACCTTTGGAGAAGCTGGAGCTTTGAAAAACTTCAAGTCCTGACCTATGTCCATGTGTTCTGGCTTTTCTAAAACTGAAGGTGATCTAGTCAGTGATGTCCGCCTGTACATGCAAGACAGAAAAAATCTGATGCTCCTATCAGAAATAGAAATTCTGAGTATAATGTTCTTAGCTGGCTCCAAAATAATATTATTTTGAAATATAAATTTTTCCATATATCTTCAAAATAGAATTTATATTAGGACTTTCGTAAGTGTCATGAAGTACTTCACTAACTCTATGTCAATCCAGATACTGTCGTGTCATTTTTAGAAGGCTGGAAATATTAATATAAGTTATCACAGCTGGGTGCTGACTTGCTGTCTGATAATGGCTTTTCAGTATTTCTATCAGTTCCGACAACAATTCTTGTATGCCATTTCCATAACAAAGGTTTCCTCTGCTCATATATCTGGTTTTCAAAGTTAATCACAAGTAGAAATGATCTAGAGTGTCCTTTGGTGTAGATTAAGTTTCATTTATAATTATAATAATTAAGTCAGATCACACAAGCTAAGGAATTATAAAGTACAGAGGGAACCTGAGTGTTTTCTTTTATTGGGCCTATCTACCTGCTGACATTTTTCAGTAGATCACCTGAGATGCTTGTTTAAACTGTAAGTACCTACAGCTGGGTTTGTACCTTTTCAGGTGTATGCACTTTTGGCGAATATCTGTTTATAGCATTTATAACTTGATTTGTTAATTGAAATTCTAAAGTATTATCTTAGTGACTTATAAGTAGCATCGTGAAGATAACTGACTTAACCCAAGAGAAGCTTCTGCATCCTGTAAAAAACCAAAGCCTAGCATTCATAAGAAACACAGTCTTTTGTGTGACAGCTGACTAGCTATTCATTACACTGTTTGGTACAATTAATCCAGAAGAATCATATTACTCTTGAGGTGGCAGCACATGGACTATATAGAATGGTAAGACTGAAACAGGCTTCTCATTTGCTTATATAGTCTGTTTAACTAATGTATCTTAAATGTATAGTAGCTATTATCCTTTACTGAAATATTTGAAGAGTCCTCAAAAAGTAGCCACAGTTTGGCACAGGCATGTCATTTATGGAAAATTTTTTTTAAGGTTAACTGGCTTAATTATACTATCTTTGATTCCAGAGGTTTCAAACTAGCTGCTGACTGTTCAAAAGGACTACAGGGGTTAGTCTTTCAAACACAGCCCAGCACTCCTTTGTATTGATGAGTTACTGTTCTGACTTCAGTAGGACTACTCACATTAGTAAGAACTCTATGGAGTAACAGGTGTTAGCAGGATATCAACCTAACCAGGGTAACAGTAAAGCACCTTAGAGATTTCCCATTGTCCCAAAATGCTTTGGTTAAAAGGCAGCCTAAGAATGCACACAGTATGCAAAACCTTATTATGTGTGACTTTTTAAGTTCCGAAGTAAATTTCCCCAGGTTTGGATTGCTTTGTTACTAAAGGTACCATGCACGTTGCCCCTAAGATCCCTGCTTCAGTATTTATGTTCATTTGGTCAATCCACTAATTAATGAACCAGGGATGTTACTTAAGATAGAGGGCCAAGTCTCTGACTTGACTTGTAATTAACCCACATGTCTTGAGAATTCTACCTAGAAGTTGAGAGGTCCAGCACTGCTATTGAACACATGTTTATGCCAGTGTCTGAACGTCAGGATGTATTCATAACATCCCAGAAAATTTAAGAAGAAAATTTTTTAAATGGAAAGATTAAATTGGATTTATTTTCTTACAGAAAGATTTGGGTTTGGGTTGAAACCCTACACATTAAGCTTTTTCAAAAAATTTTTTGTGATTCAAGAAGTAGTCATCTCATGGAACTGGAAAAGAAACATGTTGCTAACCTGAACAGTGTACATAATATACAGATTCTAATTAGGCTAAAATCTGAGGCAATTATTTAGCTATCACTATTAATGAATTTAAATCCTAATCCTGACTATCACCTAGTCATAACAATTAAGAGATTTATCTATGCTGTGTAAAGACATTTTTAAAAAAGAATCTTTCTAAAAAACTCATAGGAAATACGAACATTTTTCTGACCTTCACGTGAAAGATGCTTTTAAAGTACATTTTCAGAACTGTTTCCTCAATCATATACATAATGTAAATATAAGGGATCTTACCTGTCACAGTCCAGCACGAGAGGATATTCAGACTTCTTTTCCATATGTGTGCTTTCTTCTTTAATTATAGTAGGAAAGTTATTGACATCATAAGGTAAAATCAACCAACTGATATTTGATAATTCAAACTTCCTGGGTTGTCCGAAGTAACCAAGATAGTATCCGTTCATAGCCTGCCAGACCCTACAGACATAGTAGAAGCAGTGCCAAAGGATAGAAAGGAAAAATGGATAGTTTTAGAAGTGGAACAAAGGTGAGTAAATATCTCACTACATTATCAAATTCTGCAGTACTGTTCTAGATTTCTGTATGCTAGTAATAAAAGAAATAAATCAATGAGCTTGAAGTTTACTGGTTTTAATGTAAGTAATTTGAGAATAAAAAAGACTCAAAGATGCTGGAAAAACTGGAGAACAAACAGTTCACTTCTATAAGTACAAAACTGAAGAGTAAAGGCACCAATATCCTGAATTTCTCCTACAGTAAGGTGCTGCCACCAGAGCAGGATTTACACAAAATCTCCTCACTGATTTTCAAAAAAACCCAAAAGAATCCCCTTCCAATGTGCTTGTTAACCAAGAAGCAATTACAGTTATCTATAAAGCATCTTCAGACTGCAATGGTTTAATTGCATAAGCATTGGCTAGATGCAGTGCTTAGGACCCATGTCAATTTAACGAGTATTGAAAGCTAAAAGAGGATTAGAACAGGAGGTTATTTCTAAAAAGATGGGGCCACTACCTATGCATTCAAAGTCACAATAGTGGAAGAAAATGACAGTGCAAAAGGTCGGACTTCCTGAGAAAACTGGAAGTGTTACATTAAGATGTAAGTTCTTTCAGGTGCAGAACAGAAAATGCACCCGGTGTTGTATTTTAGCTCTATTAGCCTGCATACAGATCCAGCACGAAGACCAACTTTGAAGACCATTGAACTGGGTTCAGATAGGATGGGGTTAATTTTTGCCAGCAGCTGGGAGAGGGGCAAGCTATGATACCCAGCTGCCAGCCATATTCCACAGCATTGTAACTTCATGAAAGGTACTATGGGAGCTCAGGCTCTCTCTCTCCATCTCACTCTCCGTAAAGCTCAAGACAGGGGCTTGGGGCTGCATCGCTCAAGACAGGGGCGTGGGGCTGCATCGTTGGGTTCCAGGCGGTGAGACACCCATGCGGCACAGCACTTGCCTTGTACGCTGTCTAGTTAAACACTGGTGTTGTTATTAATTTTTCCTGTTAGTGTTATTCTTTTTTCCCCCATTATTATTATTTGTTTTTATGTTTCACCATTAAGAAAACTGAGTACTGTGTGCAGTTCTGGGCTCCACAGTACAGGAAAGACATTGAGGTGCTTGAGAAGGTCCAGAGAAGGGCAACCAGAATGATTAGGGGGCTAGAGGGTAAGTCTTATGAATAGAGGCTCAGGGAGCTGGGGCTGTTCACCTGGAGAAGAGGAGGCTGAGGGGAGACCTTATTGCTCTCTACAACTACCTGAAAGGCAGCTGTAGTGAGACGGGTGTTGGCCTCTTCTCCCCAGTGAATAGTGACAGGACAAGAATGAACAGGTTTAAGTTGTGCCAGGGGAAGTTTAGATTATTAGGAAAAACTTCCTCACCAAAAGGGTGGTGAAGCATTGGAATGAGTTGCCAGGGGAGGTGGTGGAGTCACCATGCCTGGACATGTTCAAAAAACGGCTGGATGTGGCACTTCGGGAGATGGTTTAGTGTTAGGGTGGTGTAGGGCTGTAGGTTGGACTTGATGATCTTAAGGTCCTTTCCAGCCTTTATGATTCTATGATTCTAAACTTTTATCTCAATCCTCTGAGGCTCTACCTCTTGTTCTTTCCAGGTTCTCCTCCTCCTTCCCAGTAGGGGAGAAGCGAGCGAGTGAGCGACCACTGGTTCCTTCGACTTCCACTGCCGGTCAGTCAGCTTGAACCTCGAAAGCAGTTCAGCTGATTGACCATGGCAGTAAGAAGTATTAGTCATTTTTGTACCTGACTGAACCATCAATAGATGCTGTCACTACCACATTTTTCTCTTCTTCATGAAATAAGTCAACAATTTCAGCAGAGTGTGCACTCCAGCAAAGCTCTTCCTTTATTTGCTGAGAGAAAAAAAGCAACATAAACACATTTCAGGCACCATCACTGCTAGCTTAGTGGATTTATCAGCCTGGCCTTCTGAAAATTAAAAGAGGTGACAAAGTAATCCCTCGATGAACCAGTCTGCAAATGGCATGTGATAGAAACACCACTCAGGGGACATGGATAAAATAATTCTTAATGTAGCCTCTTTAAACACAATGGAATAATGCTAACATCATTGATAGTATTTTGCTTATGTTTTTCTTGGTTTTCACAGCATCAAGTTATTATTTCAAGCAAAAGACATGTTTTTATGTGCAGGAAACATTTTAGTCCCTGTAGAGCTCTGAATCCATTTCTATCTGTCTTATCTTGGTATACTGTTCAAGTCAAGAAAATCTGTTAGATTTTTTTCTTACGTTTTTACTACTTTGCGGATCTTCTAAGAATGAGGCAATGCTCCACTGCATAATATATCCCTCTATTTAAGAAAGGAAAAAGTAAAACATGAATAAATTTCAGTAGTGCTACAAGTTCATTCATTGCTACCATACGCTTTTGGTAAACACTGGGCAGAATGAAGCAGAGATTACAGGTTAGTGAAAGTCATTTTAAGGTGAATGTCACTATCTCATTGTCAAGCAAAGAGAAGAAAATAATGGAATATTCATTAATATGCAATATATATATAAACCTTTTGTAAGCAATGTGTCATTAACAGGATATATTTGAAATAGAACATTAAGTTTTTTCTTTAAATGATCTGAGTGAAAAATAAGAGTCATCTGGTCAAGACAGGTATCTACTTCACAAATGAGGTGTGAGAGCTTCCTGAGAATTAGACTTTTTCAGTTACACAATGAAAGTTTAATGTTTTACAACCTTTTAGTGCAATGATGTGATGCTAGACTCAAAGAACCATCTTCCTTATGACCCACAACTGCTCAGTGTCATGCCTAGGCTGCCTCTTTCATGATGAAGCTGCCTCTTAACTCTCATTTCTACTACTAGACAGAGAAATCTTTTGTGTAATTCCAGCTTTTATACTGGTCACATATGGTTTCTAGGACTGCACATTTGCAAGCAAGCAAAGAGATTGACAGAGAGGCTGACCTTTTCCTAAGAAGGAAACATCTGTAATGGGAACGAGAAATTGTTAGTAGCAGTGCAGATAAAAGAGAAGGGTATGGGAAGTGTGAAAAGCAAATACACAGTAGCACAAACACAAAAGGACAAAGGGAGAGTATCAGATGAATAGGTAATAGGGTGGAAGCTTTTCCACAACTAATTAAAATCCTCTTCAGTGCATGCTGCCTTCCTGAACTCATTTACTGATTAGAATCAATGGGGAGTGGAAACTCATCTTCATTTTAAGCATCAGCATTAAGCTGCTGCTCAGTTTTGAAACAAATGGGAAAAAAAATTGCTCTATCTAACTTTTGACAGCATAAGAGCAGGAAGCTGACAGGAAATTGTTCTAATAGGTATTTTAGAAGAAAAATGGCACATTAAAGGACAAGTATTTCATATGTAGATGCAGAAGAGAAAAATTGCCAGGGCAATTCTAAAGGTTAGGAGTATAATGAGACAGCAGATAAACTCTTGTACTTTCTGCCAAACCAAAACTAGATTTGATGTGAAATTAAAAGTCTAACAACAAATAGCTAGCACACTGTAAGTACTTTATTTATGTATATATCAGTGTACTGCTGAAGCCATTACTCTGCACTCCATATCAGTATGTGAAACATGGGGTTTGGTACAGCTGCAGTTTTTTATTTATTACTATGGATGTGAAAGTTTGCTTGTTCTTAGTAGTAATTTTTGCCCTTGGTATTAATAAAACAATTCAGATAGAAAGTGTATGCAGGGCATGTGAATCAAGAAAATTGTAACGTCTTCTGTGAAAACAATTCTAATAATGCTATTAGCACTAAGTTTTAATCTATCATCCTTTCACACTAGAAAATACTTTTTTTCAGTTATTTAATTATAGTTTTGATGCAGAAAGTCTGGTAGCATTTGGACCTTCAATTCCACATTTCTGGCACATTTACAACATGATAAAAATATCATAAAAATGGTCCTGCAGAATGACAAACATGTTTACTCACCCTTACTGCCTGCCAAAAGTATTTTAGTGGAGCTGTCTGTACATAGTGCTGTCAGAGGAACTGAAGGATATTTTGAAAAAGGCAAAAGTTCTTTCAGTAGGTTTCCCTAAAATAAACAAATAAATAAATAAATAATCAGGCACATGTTTATCTTTATAATATCTACATGAAAAAAATAATAATCACTGTGTCAGAAATTTAGTGCCATTGATTTGATCTATTCAGCATTACTCAGCTCATATCTATTCAGAAAGCTGCTAAAAAGCTAGTTTACTGATCTACTGAATGACCAAGGTAACCAGGGTGTATTCTTCTGGACTGCTGTCTTTTTTACATCAAAAGAACAAGCTATTTCACTCTTCAGGCAATTCACTCTAGCTGTACCTACCCTTAGTTCAACACTTACCTCTCATTTGCTGTGGAGTATCATCAGCGTGCATCTCATTTGCTGCTGAATTGTTTCCTGCTGCAAATGGGCCATAATGTCTTGTACACAAACTTATATTTTTCAAGTAAACACCCCCTTTTTGCTGCATTTCCTTTGTATCTCTTGGAATAGAGTCTTGTGGATTGGAGGTGATGTGACAGCTAAGCAACTGGTATTCTGTTGCATGACTGGATTTACAGACTGATTGTAACTGTAGACGCTATGTGTTAGGATACTGTTCTGTCCTGACTGGTAAACCTACGAGTGCTAGCTGGCTTGTGCAGTGAGAACATATTTCTCCTCTTCTGAGAGTAGGACACTCTGCCTTGCCTATCATCCTTTCTTAGAAGGTAAATGTTGAGGGTGAAAAATCAACTTCTAGACTTCCACATAATTTTACAGTCATTTTTTGTTATAATTATTTCAAATCATGTTTTTTCATTTTCTGTTTGCCATTATTCCCTGCAACAGTTAATAAAGCAGAACTAATGTGTCTGTGGAAGAAACTGTTAACCAAAAAATGCAATGTAATATCTGCTGGTGCAATTGCTACTTAAAAAGCATGTTTTGGAAGATTAGTAAACTTATCTTCTCAGTGGTCCAGGCCCATCCCAAAAACATTCAGATAACTACCTGAATATTCCAGAGGCAGATACAGCCATTTTCATGAGCAGAAGCCAGCAGTGGTGGGTATCCCACTACAGCTTTGGATAGCTGTACATTCACCTTCAAGCATTCAGTATTCTTACACCCAGTTGTGTCTCCTGCTTTGGAACACACATGATCATATACATTTTGCCAACAATTTTTAGTACTGCTTTTGAATACATGAAAATTACATATAGCTAGAAAAAAAGTAAATTTGAAAATAAACTCCATTGTCGAGATGGCATTATTCTGAAAAGACTACAGATATGGATAAAAGACAACTGGAAACAAATTAGAACAATCTTCATGTCCTTATCTAAACCAGCCAGAACTATTTCTCCATGACACAGAGGAATTTTATTTAGAGCAGAGCAACACATTTTACAGAAACTGCAAGCACCAATGAGTGTGGAGAAGGAGTGCAAGACAGTGGTCATCAGGATAGTTAAGAGGTAGTTCTGCAGCACCTACATGAGGGGTCTATAGTTTGCTATGAATTCAGCAGTGAAACAAAGTTTAAATGATGCTTAACAATTATGGAATCATAGATTTATACTTAATTCTCCAGTTCAAAACTTTTGCTAGATGCGAGATGGTGGGCAGAGAACCTTTTCTGAGTTCCTGCTGTGAATTCCCAGAGCTGGAGATGCTGGGTGGTCCCATGAAGATCCTTTGTGAAATGGATATTCAGTGGATGAAGGACCTAACATGAATGTCTATTTCATTGGGCAACTATGAGGCTAAGGGATATTCTGGTTTCAGGGCAAGTTTTCTTTGCAAAATAAATTCACCTTAAATTCACGTTTCAGATGATCAAATTTCTGGTTATTGAGAAAGTCTGCATTCCAGCAGAGGCTATCTAAAGGATTCAGAAGAATCTAGAGGATTTGCTTCTTGCAAATTCACCAATTCCAGCTGCACAGCTTTCGCTCTTAAGTACTTCTTTCTCTCTTGTTTCTGTTGTTTTAATGAAGTGGGAAAGGAAGATTTTTCTGACTAAAATTTCATCTGCTTTTGAAGATTTTGTCTGTGAGGCTATTCATTTATACTTGACTCAAGTCAGATTTCACTATAGCACTTTGATAATTCATTGCTTGCATATTTCTGTGGAAGATAAGTGTGTATAGCTGGCATTCCCAAATGCTGCAAGGTTTCTAGCATCATGTCTGTTTAGAAAAATCAGCAATTAAGCCCTTGCATATCCTGCATCCTGGCTAGGCCTTTGGGAAATAACTGCAACTCAGAAGGGAGCAGAAAGCATTAAGTGTGTAATCCACATAGCAATGATATTTCAATTATTCTAAACACAATTTGCCAGACAAACTGACAAACTCAGTTTCTATGGTAATCTGTGCAGAATTCATGGATCAACAACAAAAAGAATAAAAACCATCTTTCCATACCTGTTGTTACCTGAGTATTAATTTCATCGCTTTTTATATTTTCCTGAAATCAAAGAAGAAAACGTAACATAATTAGGGAACAGAACTCAGGTATAACTAGAGAACACTTCTCTAGTTGAAATTATTTTAAAAACTTATTTTTTTTTAATTGAAGTACTAATTAATTGAAGAAGTTGAATTGAAATACTCCTCCAATTTACATCCAGTCTGGGATAGCACTGACTGAAAACAAGTAACATTTCATCTGATGAGAATGAAAATCACAGATGAGCAAATCACAAATGAAATTAATTGGAATTTAGAAGCATGCTAAAGGTAAATTTGGCTGAATGGTATTAATTTCCTAGGAGAAACAAAGTCAATCATTTAGTCATACAGTTTTGTTACTGCCTTGAGCAAAGATAACAAAGTGCATAAATAGCAATAACATTTACTCACACCTGCATCTTCACTATGGGAATTGTCACAGTCCTTCATTTGTACCTTATTATATAGGCTCCTGAGGATCCCCAAGGCTGACAACAATCTGTATACTGGCCTCAAAAATCACCAAGTCTGCGCAGCCACGAGTGTTTGAGGTATCTTAGAAGAGGACAAGCCACTTCAATCTCATCCTTTGGGGATCTTTTTAACAGCTGAAAATGACTGCCCATTGTGTTATTCTGAGGACTGCATAGCACCCTTTGAGTTCTTCTATACTCCCATTTGAAAGACAGAATTGCAAATGATAAGCACCCGACAAACAATTTGACAGTCAGATATTCCAACTATCACAGAGACAGCAGCCTGCCAGAATTTATTCTTAATTTCCCAGCTCATTTGGCTTCGGTGAACAAAGTTAATTTCTCTGTAATTCTTGATATTTGGTTTTGTACACAGTTTTGTGGAGGGATTTTAGTAAGCTACATAATTTTAAAACTGAAATGAAAACAGAAATTTGTTTTGAATGCTACCAAATCCATGAAGCCATTATACCTACCTTATGTATGTTCGAAGAACTGCTCTTGTGCTTTTTAATGGCACTTCCGTCTCTCCTTGCAATAGCACTAATAGAGGGCAGGGAACTGATTTTCCTATGTGAAAGAAATTATTGGAGATCACTATCATTCTTGAAGACAGTGCTGGAAAACAACATTATCCAGTGTAATAAAGCATAAGAAAATAGTGCCTGAATTGATTAGGCTGATTAGTTGTTGGTATTTTAGAAGTTTCTCCAAGTAATTAGGCAATATTTACATATTACACAGCCAACCTCTCCTGATAGGAGTTTTGAGCAAATTAAATCTATAGTAAATAAAAATTAACACTGGTGTTTATCGTCAAGAAATGAAGGGGGAAAATTCAGTGTATGCCAATGGCTTGTTGCCTTTCATTTTACACAGTGCTTTGCTCTGCAAATATTTTCCAAGTAATTATATAAGCTTATTTTCAATCTGTTAAGAAAATTCTCAGAAATGGGATTTTGTGGAAGAAACTCAGGAAAAAAATTTGGATGTGGTCTAAAATGTTTGTATTTCTCAGTCAAAAAGAGTTCTGACTGTGCTAGTGAGAGTCTCTTGCCATGTTCCTTACAGCAAATCACAGCTGCTCTGGTTTTGACAGGAGTATCTGAATAACTCGGGTAATGTAAACACCCATATAGAAAGTATGCAGCTGGAGTAGCTGATTATATTTGAATAGATGGCCATGACTTTGTAATTTTTCAGTGTTTGATTTTACAAACTTGTCTGTATTCTTGAACATTGTGTGTATGTATATGATTACAGTCAAATTCTTCCAGGTACCTTCCCAGTACACACCAAACATCCTAAGCCTATATGATTCAAAGTCATTGTAGAATCTTCCTGCTTAAGTATAATTAGAACTTTTCTTGATTTAAGAAAAATTCTGTTTGAGAGTTGTAATCACATTTTTATTTTAGATAGGATTCCTTAAACGAGTAGTGTCAAAAACAAAATTTATGTTCAATTAAGTGGCACTGGTACATTTAGGGGTATAGCAAATGTGTAAACTACTTGAAGGTTTTAAAGCAACATAAGACTATAAACCCTCCTTATGATTCCAGAGAGGAAAAAAAAAGCTGCCTAATTGTTTAAACCCCTAAAGACACATAAGTATTTAAACCATATGATATTCTGTCCTTTTGACTACCATTGACCTTGAATGCCCATTGGAAGACAAACATTCCTGAAGTTATGCACAGGTGCAATGCCTTTCTCTCAAAATGAGCATATTTAGCTAAAATTCTCTTTTCCATCCAACACTACCAACCTCTATGCCAGCTTCTAGTTTGTTTTTAGATGAAACTTGAGGCTGCACACTTCAACTAGCTTGCTTCTCTGTTTTTTTGCTGAAAGTATCTAACAGCATGAGGATTGTATCAGGTTTAAAATCAAGAAAAAGCCTGCTGCCACACAGTTATCTCACAGAGAATCAAAGAATCAAAGAAGGTACAGTAAAAATAGATAAGAGATAAGAATCACAGAGATAAGAATCAAAGAAGGTACAGTATCAGGAACAGTTTTCCTGACAAAATCTGACTTATGTTGGATTCATCGATAGAATTGAGACTTAGCAAGGTCATTTACAGGATAGCTCAGTGGAGTGGTAAGAAGATAACGTACAACATGGATTGATAAACATTACGCAAGTTTAAGGATGGGAAGGCTTACTAACTGTTTGAACTTGAATTGATTAAATAGAAAGAAAATCTCAAGTTAAGTTAGCAATCTTGGACAAACATTTCATCAGTTTATTACAACAAAATTCCAGATGATTGTGCCTGACATGAGGGAAGACAAAATGCGTACAGTTACCTGGAAGAGAAAGTACTATGTACAAGGAATAAAATGGCATTGACTGCAGATGCTTGAAGAACTGAAGCCTGGCTGTCTTCATTAATTTTACACCTGAAATTAAAGATGTTTGCACACGAGGTATGAGATGGGTTGCATATTATTACCAGAAAATGTTGCAGACTCTATTTGTAATCTAAAAATTTAAACATTTCATTTCCCAGAATGCATGTTTTAGACATGTTTTTTAAGGATCAGTTAATTAGTTATGACAGATCAGTGACAAGTAGGTACAGAATGCTAGGAAAAATAGGAAACTGATGGAGTGGAGAACATTTCATTCAGCCAAGTCTTTTCTTGAGAATTTAGTGTTTAAGAGAAAAGTAAAATACCTTATGTTGAAGTTAACTAGCTAGGTTAGTGTTAGAAAAGTACCTTGTTCCTGGCATTCAAAACAGAGATGTGAATCCTGAGTAAAATAATCTTCTTACAAAGTCTTGTCTTACCTCCCTTCCATATATTCACATGAATTGGCTCCCTCATATATGTGGAGGCAAAAGCAAAGCAAGAGATAGAGCCAGAACTGCAGTTAAAATTTGATTATTTCCCATGGTAGAGAAAAACTCAGCTCATTTTCTTACAAAGCTGCCAATATTACACATGAAGGATGCTGTGCAGCTATAGGGTAGGATAATTAAATATTGACTTTGTTTTGTTTTAAAGGGCATGCATTCCGTCATCAACACAGAAATACCGCCATGCTGCTCCACTCAGTCTAACCAGACATGTTGACACGGTGTACCTTCCTGATGTGGCAGCTTAATCTGCATGACAATATCTGGAACCATCCTATGCTCACTTTTTGTCACTTTCTGTTGAAGATTTTTACTGCCAAACTCCCCAAATCACCTAAGATTTCTTCTTGTTGAATGTGTCTCCTAGTCTCCTAGGTATAGACAATGATATTCATACTTATAATATAGAACATCTGGAGTTATCATCTGAAGTAACTTTAATTCCAAATGTCCTACCAAACATGAAACTTCCATTATGATGTCTCTTCAGCTCAGTAGCAGCCTCTAGTCAATGACAGGGTGACTAGAGTTTCCTTTGGGGGCAGTGCTGAGTTTGTTAAAACACAATTCTTAATTACATCATCCCTTCCTCAAATGACTCTCTCTTGATCATTTCTCCTACCTGCAATGTCAGGACTAGCTAGCAAACTAATTTGAAGTAGGAGGGAGGAGGGTCCAAATAAATTGCTATTTTAACTCCTGCTTGGCCATCACCTTTTACAGTTGAGTATCAGAATTTCCAATATGCCATTTGAAAAATTTGTAGGAAATACTGTGAATCAAAATGCAGTCATGAAAGCAATACTTACAGGCATCTCACAGAGGCGGCTTCAAAATCCCACAAAATTATTGCACCATTTGCACTTCCTGTAGCTATCAAACTGCATCCTTCTAGCTTTAAAACATCAAAACACTTCACTTCCGCAGAAGGTACAAAATTCTACAGAGAACATTAAAAAAAATTAGTAGGAGCAATATGGACACTAGAGAGTGAAATGCTGTCACAGTTAATTTAACAAGATGCCTCAATTGACAGTGTCTGCAACAATGACATATTGAATGCTATACTGTATCATCGTATTTGAGCTACACAGAAGCACCAGAAGAGAGCAGAGAGGGATAATACTGGGAGAGCGCCTGCTGCAGAGCAAAGGGGCCTACATCTGCCAACCTGACCTACTACCTATGGCATAGTTGCAATTAAAAGCATTTATATAGGAGCATGTACAAACAGCTGTAAGAACTGAAGATTAATCAGAACTAGCTATCTATGAAGATACTCTAACCAAGTTAAAGGATTAAGTCACTGAACAGAGATATGACCTTTCCATAAATGTCATCCAGATCTTTTACAGAGTTAGTGAAATTATACACCCCAAAACATTTTATGATGAAAACTTAGGTCTCCTGGAATATTGAAGTTAAACTGGTTAACTGACACATACATTTGACATCTCATTTTACCAAAGCAATAAGAGGAGAAAACATAACCGCTGTAACACTCAGCTTGATCTTTATGCAACACTATTACTGAAGGTGAATCTGGCTAGAGTAATGAATGGCTTTTCATTTCGAGAATTTATACAAGAGCCTCAACTTACTATTGTACAGGAATGTGAAGTGTATGTTCAGAGCAGCTACTTAATCATGGTGGCAACTATGCAATGCATTGGGCGGATACAGCCCTTTCTTACATGATTTGTTTTAGACCTTCACGGTACAGAAAAGTTTGGAATACTTATTTGGTTCTTACCCTGTTGCTAAAACATGAAATCTTTGAATACAGTAAATATTTTACTGTCAAATATTCTGTAAACAATGTGAAACTTTGAAGTGTTTCTCACCTCCGTATCATTCCTTGGAGAACTGGAGTCAGACAGTGGCTGAATATCTGGGAAAAAATCATTTGTCTGTAAGGTGTCACGCTTCAGTGACAGACACACAAGTGGATTCTTTCGTGGAAATGACACTGCCTCAGGAAGCACCCACGCGACATATAGATTTGTTTGAACTGAGTTACCCTATTAAAACAATTGACTTAATGAAAGAGGAAGGAAAGGATTTCTCTATTCATAAGAAAATTATCAGTAAGTGAGTGCCAAAAGCATGTTTTCTCTGTCGAACTACAAAAACTGTTACAGGTATCATCTAGCGTATGCCTACACTGCAAACTGAAGCAGCACCCAGGGATATTCCAGCTCATTATCCCCCTTAGTTTCTTCAGTTATAGCTGCTTATTTTATTAACATTGCTAATCTCCAGTTCATACCTACCATACCAGCAGAACTGGTGGTTCCAATTATGTGAGAAGAAGCCGCAGTTCAGCCATGGCCCTGTGTCACTGATTTCCCCTAGTTGTGCCTAGAGGCTACTGGGAGTTACCTTGATAATTTTTCCACCCATAACAAATTCACTTCAGTATTTAGTTTCTACTTTGATATCTCTGCTATTTTGGGAAGTGTTACTGAAAGCACCTCCTTAGGTTTTCTACTGTTTTAATAGGTTTGTGAAACTGAATCCTGAGTCATGGGAGTTTTCCATTAGTAAATATTAAATTGAGCCACTATGGCTCTAAACAAATGACTGGAGCTGGTCAGTAATATCTGAGTCTGAGGGCTCAGCTGCTGATCTTTGCAAAGGACAGGTATCCAGAACCCAAGAAGGTGCTGCTGTGTTTTCCACTGCCTGAGGATCATGCTAAGGCTGACAGGCAGCAGTGAAGAAGGAAAATGTACAGCTGCCTCCTTAGAAGATGGCTGTAGGCCTGAGGTGCTGTTAAAAAGCAGGGGTCTGACTGGTGCAGTGTGGCTAAATACATAACAGGATTTGCAGGACCAGTTCTAACCAGTCTCAGCTGCTGGTGAACTAGAAACTCTTTAAACAGGCTAAACACTCTCTATAATAACAGCAGCAATATTTTAAAGCTTTTACCTTAAAGGATCTACAACTACTGAAACCTCAATCACAAACAGAAGAGCAAATGCAAGGACAGAAATTATCAGAATGCTGAAAATCAGCAACAGACTATCGAACATATTAACACTTAAGCAAAAAAGCAGAAAGCTAATCTGAGGGCATGCCGAAAGTGGATTCTTCCATGACAGTTTCTAAAAGTTTATCTACTAAGTCCTATTTTACCTTGAAAGTTAGGAGCTACCAAATAAAATTAGGAAAAAAAAAAGGTGTATTTGAAAAACCTGAATGATTTTCATCTTCCCACTCTGCTCCAAAACAAGAAGTGCATGTTGACTCTCATTAGCCTTCAGATAAACTATCTTTAGCAGACGATATTCATCTTTGCTGGACTGGGCCAAAGGCAAGGCTTTAACTTCCTGCCCACTTTCAGACTCCCAAATTTTCACTGTTCCTACACATGAATGAGAAAGATAAACAAAAGGGTGTGAACTAGAAGCAATAACCTGTGCTTCAAAGTTAGAAACTTGAACTGTATCAACCAGGGAAAGAAGAAGAAGAATAAAAAAATTCAATTGAAGGTTCAGAGTGAGGTCATTGTTCTTTCAAAAGCTGTAACAGCATGCGTGTTTCTTAGGAAAGCACACTTAGGGACACAAAACTTACCAGAAAACATCTTCACCACTGGCCCCACCATTGTTCCATCTTTTTCCCATGTCTGTTTTATGCTGCAGCCCAGGATAAATGACTACTACCTTTCTTGTTTCTGTTTCTGGACTAATGTCATCAGAAAGTGAGCAAAGTATGGGCCATCAGGCAGAAGACTTCAGGATCTGAGCTCCAGGAAGGAGCAGACAGACCTGGCTTCGGGATTTGTCCCACAGAGGTAGTGGAGAGAAGGAGCTACAGCATTATTTTAAGTGAAGCAGTTATTATATATGACTTCACTTTTACAAAACTTAACAGCATTCACCTTGTGTCATGCTCTTAAGATTCACAAGGGATGCAGTCCCTGCTTCTAAGTATAAACAAGAAACACAGCCAGTGTGCTGTGTAGAAAAGGCCAGTCCCTTTTTATGTGAGGCAGTTTAACACACATGGAAAATTCAGGGAACATGTAGCTATATATATTCTAGTGTTCAGATACCCTAAAAGTGGAAAACTACTATTCTCTGTCTGCAGCCATTAGTTACAGATCTAAATCCTAAGTCCTATGAACAAACATCTTTTCAGAAGATAGTCTTCCAGAGAGCAATAGACTAGCAAAATACCACAGCCCAAGCAGCCAAAAATCACCTACCAAATAAAACGCATATAAAATACCCCCATCCTTTTCCCCAGACCAACAGCTGTGCATTCCTGTCTGTGTATACTTCCTCCCACCTCAGTAGAATGCCAAAATTCATTCTTTTGTCACTGAGACGGTCAAGTCAAAGAGTTCTGTCTGCTCATGTAATATGTCATTTTAAATAAATGCAATAAAAATATGGGAATTATTTAATTGCTTTACCATCACATGCCCCAGTAGCAAGATAAAACCCATTTATTTCAAAAGCTGCACAGGTCACTTCAGTATTCATCCCATGAGCATCTTCAATCTGATATATTTGGTATCCTGTTTCTAGGTCCCAGACCTGAAAAAAAATAATTATAATTATTTGTACTACATCACAGAATCCAGAATTACAGAATGTCAGGGGTTGGAAGGGACCTCGAAAGATCATCTAGTCCAGCCCCCCTGCCTGAGCAGGATCACCTACAGTAGGTCACACAGGAACATGTCCAGATGGGTTCTGAATGTCTCCAGAGAAGGAGACTCCACAACCTCCCTGGGCAGCCTGTGCCAGTGCTCTGTCATCCTCACAGTGAAAAAGTTTTTTCTAATATTTTTGTGGAACTTCCTCTGTTCCAGCTTGTACCCATTGCCCCTTGTCCTGTCATTGGACGTCGCTGAAAGGAGCCTGGCTCTGTCCTCCTGACACTCCCCCTTGACATATGTATAAACATTTATAAGGTCACCCCTCAGCCTCCTCTTCTCCAAAACTAAAGAGACCCAGCTCCTTCAGCTACATCCTCTAAAACTCATCACACAATGTGCTCTATTGTAACTGGAGAAAGATGAGTATTTCCAAGAGCAAATTTTCACATCCTGTGAAATAAGTGTTACAATAGCACACTGCCATGTTCTTTTAGTGAAATACTAGTGTAATTTCCCTGAATATGTCTCTCTCTCCACAGAAGCCATTCTGCAAGAGGAAGTTCTATTTAGTATGCTATGGGAAAGTTCCTTGTTAAATCAGAGAGACTTGTTAAATACAATGAGTTTTTACAGTGCAAAAGCAATCTAACTAGACAGAACAGTTTGAGCTTCAATTTCTATGCTGAATATCAGAATGAGGTTTTTCATAAGCAATTGGTCCAAAAATGTAGAAACAACTCTATCTGATCATTATCTAATCCTTCTGGGAATTTATGCAATGCCTTATAATGAAATAGCAGTGCAACTGCAGTCTGGTCCCTGTAGTGGGATAACTCAGATACTACTGGATTTATGAAGTAGCCATTAATGTCATATGCCTTGTGTGGATCTGACTTTCTGCAGCACCAAGGGCCCAAAACTATCTTGTAATTTTAATAGTGTTGTAGCCAACATGGTTTAAGGAAGGCAGGGTTTACGGTGATGAATACCATCTTTACTGAGTGTATAAAATGAACAAATCTTTGCAAAAACAAGCTTTTCTTCACAGGAATGGCATGCATCACCAGCTGGCCCAATAGCAGATGCTACCTCTCCTTACAAACCTTTTTATCTAACCCCATTAACACTTGATGAAAACTGCAGGTCCTCAGTACCTGTACAATCACTGTTTCACTGTTAATTACATCAGTAATGATTAATTTTATTAATCTGCAGGTTTGCTGATACTCGCATGGCAACTGTTTTTCAGTGGTTCAAATGCAAATGGTAAACTTAATAGGCAAATTTAATCTTTTCATTAATGTTTCAACATAAACAGAACTGTGATAAAAAGTGATAAAGCTACATCCATCCTTGTATTTTTCCTGTTAACTGGCTATTATATTCAACACTTCTCCCTCACTGTATGACTTGAAATCCCTAAGGCTCAGAAGAATATGTTCTGGGAAATTATTTGAATGAGAAAAGGATCTACAGAAGGTCAGGAAATTGCCTCCAGAACTGCTAGCCAAATAGAAGCAGATCAGATTAAAAAAAAAAAAAAAAAAGAAAAACAGGAGTGTAAAAAGTCAGATTTTATAGTTTAGGCACACTATGTGTGCCAGTGAAACTTTCCAATTTCAGTGAAGGAATCTTTTCATTTGAGAGCAGCACTTTTACACAATCCTGTTCTTACAAAGTGACTTTTTTCATGTTTTATACCAATGTCTAAAATATATCATAGAATCATAGAATGGCTTAAGCTGGAAGGGACCTTAGAGATCATTTTAATCCAGCCTCCCTGCTGCCAGAGACACCACCTCTCGACTAGATCAGGCAACACATGGGGACTGAACGGGAATCGAACCCGTGACCTTAGCGTTGTTAGCATTGTTAGTGCTATGCTCAACTGACTGAGCTAACTGGCCCCCAATACATATATTCTACTAAGCTGACTGCTGACTGGGAATCAGGGACTTCTTACACTTTAAAGAGAAGCTTATCAGATTTGTCTTCTGAATTGAAGGATAATGTGGAATTGTGCTTGCATGAATTGTTGATTGGATGCACATTTTGACATCATGGCAGTTAAAGTTTTTGTTTCTAGCTACTAAGTAGCCAATGGACTTTCAGTATTATGGCTGTAAGTGTAAGAACCCATTGGAGGAACAGGTGAAGTGTACCTGTCCAGTCAAAGGAAATAAAATTACAACTAAATCCAGTATCTCCAAAACCTTGCTCAATCTGTCTGGTGCTTGCAGTGCGGTTATGGCAGTCTGGATCAGGGAAGTAGTTATCTGAGAAAAATAACGCTGCTGAACTCAGACTCAGCATGGCTACCACTTCCCTGGAGAATCTGAGCTCAAAAATAACCACCAATACCAGCACTTTAAATAATAAACACTAATCACTTGTATAATTGCCCAGTAACTTCTTTGTAATAGAAGAAGCTGTGACTTTTCTTTTTCAGTTTAAATGGTGACAACTTATACTCACCTTTAGTATTGACTCTGAGCAGATAGTGAGAATCTGGTGAAAAGCCTTGTTGTAAACCAGAACAGTGATGCTTTTCTCATGTGTCTTTGGCACCTGTCTTGAATCTTGTATCATTCGAGTTAGAGGATAAATATCAATGACAGTTGAACCTGCATAGGGTGAGAGGCATAAAAATATATACATTTTGTGTATAGTACCAGTTACTTTCCCTGGATATAAAAAGATTTTATGTAAACCACAGGGTTCATTTGAGTTCTTCTGAAGAGGATAAGGAACATTGTTTCCTGAGAATATCTGTTCTGTAAACCAGAAAACATTCATACATCATTCCCACAAAACATCAGTTAATGGCTAAGTATTTACTTGCCTTAAACATCCACCTGGCCAGCCTTGATGGGCTTGATACCATGACTCGAAATCATTAGGAGCCATAAATGCCCCAGTCTCAGAGTGGGTTGGCATGAAATGGAATGAACCCAAAAAAATAAAACTATAATTGGCAGATATGTGACTAAAATAAATTCTGTTATTTGCTTCCTTAGCAGAAGCAATTATATCTGCAGGCAATGATGGTTTCTTTCTGGTACCTTCCTTTACACAACGCTGCAGGTCTGACTGGTGTTTTCCAGACACCTTCCAGTGGTCTCAGATCAGAAGGGTTGCAAAGACAGAGAGGCCGATGAGAGTGACAAGACAATAAAAAGGACAAGGTTTTTACAACATGGGCTCACAAGACAGACTACACATGCAGCGTCGTACTGCAGTTCCAGTATAACTACGCTTCTCCCAGCAGAGAAGCAGCAGTCAGTGGTGAGCATGCAGCAAAGGGTGAAGTTGCCTAATACTTTGCATAAGTTCAAGCAGAGAGGCCAGCAGCTTGGAAAAAGGCCCAGAAGGAAAGCTCTGGTAATACTCAAACGAAACATGAAGGCGAGCCATATTTCTGGCTGTTAGTGAACTAATAAGTGAAAATCTCCTCTGTAAAGCCAGGTACATAGCAATAACAATTGTCACCCACATATAACCTCAGTCTCTTGTCCTCTTCAGGGGCAAGAAGCCATTCACTTAACCTTTTAATGGAATCATTAAAAGATCCCACGACCAGTCTTTTACAGATATTTAGGCACTGCCCCAACCATTGTTTATAAGGGCAAAGTTACCTCATTTTGTCAAGGATTTATCCATGCTAAATCCCTACATTACTAAGCCTTGAAAAGTCTCACTGAGTTTAATTTGAACTGAAGATTGTATCTGTATCCTTTAGTGATTAAAAATCTTTAAAAAATAGCCTGATTAATATTCTGGGCATTTTTAAAGTACAGCCTGGAAACTGAAGTTCCTTAAGCTTTGAAGTACTTACCAAATGCCTATAAACATACAATAATTTGTGGACTCTATTCCAATGTATATATTTAGGCTTCTAAAACAAGTTTATTCACACAAAGATTCAGCACAAACTACCAGGTCACTGAACACATTCACCTTCTCAAATTTGAGAAACTTTGCAAATTGTGCTTTGCTCCCAATCCAAGGACAGAAAAAGCTCTCTCCAAAGACAATGACCTTATTTGCCTGGCACATCTCAGGCCTCTGTGGCCCCAGAACATGTTCAAAGCTGTTTTTCCTAAGTGCCTGTGTCTCTGGGGCAGAAAAACTTTTCTAGCTTCTAGTCTCTGCCTTAGATACAGAAGGCTAACTAACATCCTTAGTGACACCTCTGGTACCTCGGGAGTGCCAGGCTCCTTGCTACAGAGTCAAGAAACAGAAGTTATAAATTTAAGGATGATTTCCAACAACATTTTATTCCCGATCAATCGGACGGTGCATCTGCTGACACCACAGATTGTGGGGCACTCCACAGCTACTGAGCTAAACAAGGAGGCTGAATACACTTGTGAGGGCTCCACAGAGACTATACTTTGCTGCTTTGATCTCCAAATGGGAGGAGAGTGTTAGAGGAATAGTTAGGGGAAGATCAGCAACTTGGTAGCTTTCAAGAAATGATGAGGCTACAGAACAACATCTGTAGTTTAATTTTTCTAAGGAAGGCTCACTCTGTCTTTGGAGAAGCCTTTCTCATTTCCTCTGGTTCCTGTTGTTAATTCCCATGCTGCATATTTTCCTGCTTATTTCTACATAACAAGTCTTAGTGTGCAAATACCCTTATCTCCCAGTACTCTGTACATCTCATATACCTTATTCCTGTACTCAGATTCAGCTGTATGCAATCATAAAGGAAATCGCATTCTAGGAGAAGGGGCATGCTCTCACGCACCAACTGCAGTACCGTACCAGTGATAAGCGTGCCATGATGGTTATCAAATACCATGGCAAAGGCCTCCATCTCTCCAGGACTCCTTTGATTATCAGGGAAGACCTGCAGCAGTGAAAGAGTCTGTATATCCCACACTCTAAAAATCTAGAGGGAGAGAGAGGGGAGAAAATTTAGTACTATATTGTAATAAGATTTTCAACTACTTTTTGTTTCTATGGCAGTAATATTACAGCCTCCAATGAAAATCACATTGTTAAGCATCATACACTCCCAAATAAGCAAGACAAATATCAAAAGTGTCTTCATCCCCATTTTACTAAGGATAAAATGTACAGAAAGGCTGAGTTTTGTAATCTTGATCTGACAAGTCCACAGCAGAATCAGATCTCCTGAGAACTGGTTCTACTCCTTAATGACGAGTCCATTATGTCATACTTTTCAGTCATGTACACATAAATGCCAGCAGTTTAAAAGCTTGTATTTGAACTGGAATTTCAAATGCTATGCAACAATAGAAAGATAATTTTCAGAGGGTTCTGGATAAAGGAATTCCTGAAATCTTTGACTGACAGCAGATGTTTGAGCAAATAAGGATCAGGACACTCTGCAGAAGGATGATTTTTATGCACATATGCATATATAGTTCTTGTGCTCTCCATAAGCAAATGCTACCAATCCAAGTTAGGATTCTATTCTGTAAGGAGAACTAGCTAGATATATTTGTTCTTACTTTCAGTTTCAATGGAAAACACAGTACTTGCTTTAAACTTTAGGATTACTCATCAATAATTATATGGCAGCATCATTTATTCATCCTGCCTCATCAAAAGCTGTGTTGAATTTACTGCTCTTAATCCTGTGCCCTTAATCCTGCAAGAAATCATGATGTAATTTTTCAGATCCCATTGCTTTTAGTGTGGTGTATATCTGCAAGATAATCTTACAATACTCTCAAAAGTTATTCTGTCATCACATCTGCCTGCAATTCTTATTCAGCTGCCAAAAGCACAGTGAGTTTCATATAGGCATTTGTGCAAATTATTTGTATTCATTCAACTGTATATTAAAAGGTGAGGCTGCATTTTTAATTGGGATTTTAAAACATAGGTACAATGCTCCCATCAATAGTGTTGTGGGTGTTGACAAAAGTCATTGAATATTTGGATTAAATGCTCCGTATAATGTAAGCCCATAAAACACATTAGCACAAACCCAAGAAATATCCAACAGAATTTTATAACTGAGCTGCATCTCAGACAGAAACAGCACATGAATAGTTCTTCTTCCTGTGCTACGGTCCCTGAAGGTCATCTTCTTTCAGCTGTTCTTTACTTTGTCACTCATTTGAGATCTCAATGGCTTTTCTTCGTTGAAGAAGTTAGCCAAATTCTACCTTCATAGTCTTGGCCTGGAAACATGAAGCAGACAGCCTGCCCTGACTGGGGCTGGGCTGCTGTTTCTCTGAAAGAGCAAGTCTAAAGATGTCTGCAGCACACACCTTGGGTGCAGATTCTTTCATTATATTCCTGAAAACCTACTTAATTCACCCACAGGTAAAAGCAGCTGTGTTCATATATTAACGTGCCTATTGTGGAAAAACCAGGCAGTCAGTAAGCATCTTGAAACTGGCCTGAGCATCTGTCCATAACAGATGAGTGTTGTAATAGAAAAAGAAGTGGAATTGAGGTAGTGAGAATCAACGTTCATTTTGAGATTACTGGTTTTTCCTTCTGACTGAAAAATTAGATAGCACAATGACTGTCACCTTAGAAAAATTTAAAAGGGATTAGGCAAAAAAAAGAATGTAGAGCTCTGTTGAGCACTTTTCTTCATAAAAGTTATAATGACATAACCTACTCACTAGGGCCATTAACAAGTTATGCCCCAGGAAATGACTTATAGGCAATCTTATATCTGATGTGTAACTCAAATCCAGCACAGTCAGGGGGCTGTGCTGACGTAGAAATGGTGGTGACTGGTAGAAGAAAGATGAAGTGAAGTATCATTAAAGGTATTTGATTTGCAAAGTAATCGCTTTTAGCTCATCTTGCCTAGCAGCAAGCTAGAAATCTGACAGGAAGAACTATGAGGAATAAACAAGAACAATCTGTCAGCCTCGTAAAGAAAACAGCTACAATCAAATTAACTGCTGAAAACTAAGAAAATTCAGTTCCATAATGTTACTCACCTTTTAATGGAAAGATCTTTGAAAACCTGTAACAGCCCTGAGAAATACTTTCTTTGCAAATTTGGATTAGACAGTTTTATGTCTGCAGAGTGCCACTTGTATCTATCCATTTGATCACACAAAAGCTTCAACTTTTTTCTTTAATATATATAATTATTTCAGGAAAAAAATTCATTTTACATGCTCAGACAAAGTGTTTTCCCAAATGACACACAGCAAATTATAGTATGAAATATAACACCCAAGTTTTACCTATTTCAGCTTTCCTCACCATAGCCTATTCCCTTCTTCATTCTGAAATATATTTATTTTTTTCTATTCAACAGAGCATGTTGTGTCCTTATAAAGGCTTTTGATAATGAGGACGACATAACTTATGCATATGTTCATTTTATGAAAAGTTGATTGCAATGCCAGGAATAATTTCTTTCAAAGGCACACACATACAGAGAATGTTTCTTACTCTGGAGGTTTTAAAATGTTGAAATATGTCTCTTTTTTCACATAAAAAAGGATCTCAGCATGAAAAAAACCCCCACTGTTGCCAAAAAGAACCCCTCAAATCCAAAGAGAAGACTGTTCACTGCATGCAGAATAAAAATAAGCAAGACAGTAATAGAATTAAATTATTCAGGGAGATACACAGATTTTGAGATTATTGGAATTTCTATCAGTAACCTGATTTTAAAGGAAATTAGAGTGTATCTAACAAAATTCTGAAAAGAGCAAAAGAAACAGATATGTCAATCAATATTTAAAGAGATCACCTTTGGCATCGCAGAGAAGTTCATACATGAGTTTTTCACAATTTTAAATAGGAGAAAATTTCTCTGGAACATTTTTTTTCCAGGAAAATTCAGAAGGAGAAGACTCTAAGGAACATCTTAATGAGATTAAATTTTCTCCGAGACCGTACTGAGTTACAAGAACCATGTCTACCGTATTCTTATGGTAGACAGACAATTCTAATGATCTCATGGACTACTCAAGTTAAATTGGTCAACAACTGAAACATAGACATTTTATCCAAGCAATAAGAAGAGATGATTTTGCAGCACAAGTGAATATAAGTAGGAGCCTCTTCCTCTGTTTCTTGCTGCGTGTTCAGCTATTAATGCTCGTATCAGATTAAGAAAATGCTGTCACTGAAAGTGACAGCAAAAACTTGTACATATCACAGCATTCATAAATCTCTTCCCTTCCTCCTGGCCTTCTTCCTTTCCCAGCTCACAGGCAGGGATGGGGAGATTACAGAAACCACTGTTCCACATGAGTAACTCCCACACAAGGCATCACCAGCGTGGCTGCGAGATAAAATGTCATGACTGTTCATCTGCATCAGCATACATGATTGTGCATGAATTAATGCATGAAGAGTGGCAAAAAAAAGACATGTTTATTTAGAAATTAAGAAGTGACTAGGGGGAGTTGCCTTAGGAACATTTGTTAACGGTAACTTTACTGCTTTACTTACTGAAGAACTTCCCACAGCAGCCTGACAAATGCCATGAATGCGTGAAGCCATCTCAAAACATATTCACTGTGGCAAAATGCTTCTAGACTGTGTCTTCTGCAGGCACAGGATATAGACTATATACTGAAAAACAAAACCTAGTGGGGAGGAGAAGGGGTATGGAGAGAAGAAGCTTCAAGTGCTTTTGGAAACAAAGCTTATTTCCTTCTTCACACTGTTCCCACCTTCCTTACAGTGAAAGCTGAGCTATACTTACAGCAGCAATGTCTCCAACACTGGCTTACATTACTGAAAGCTTGTTGGTTCAGTTTGAGTACTAGCAGAATTGGTCTTGACCCACAGATACACGTTCTCTAAGAGTTAGAAGTGCAGGATTTCGTGCCTGCATTCCCACAGTGCCTGCCTCCTCCATGCAGTCCTAACAGGCACAGAGGGACATTCCGGGAATGCATGCTGCCTCTCTTTCCCATCTCAGCTGCAACAGCTTCAGCAAACTACTGTTAACCTCCCCAGGACCACAGTCTGGATCAATTTGCTCTGTTCTGGGGTGCTCTTCTTGTGGTTTTCATTTTATAACACCATGGCAAAACTGCATGGTTTCAGGTGGAATTTCCACAGTCGCTAAAGAAAATTTGGAACCAAATCCCTCCAGAATTCAATGGGAGTTCTTACCAAAGCCTTCTGAGATCCCTTACAAACTTTAAATGTATATATTTGTGTACATAAACACTTTTCTCTCAAGTACAACCTTCCTTCAAGCCCTAGAACACAGAAAGAATCCTGGACTATCTTTTCCATTTGGTCTAAAGCCTATGTTTTATGAACATGTAAAACCACCAACACTCCTTTCTTCTATTTTTCTTAATACACATCAGAGACAGATAAAGAGCAAAAGATCCATCTTATCAAGTAAAATGAAATCAGCAGAGGGAGATGGACAAAGATAGGAGATCGGGAAAGACAAAACTGGGAAATAAATATTTTACATGCTCTCAGTACAATAAAGTTGGGGCTTGGGAACACTTATCTCTTGCTGGGTTTTTATGAGATGGCCGCTATGGAAGCATGCTTTGATATTGAAAATTAATCCTTTTCTGCCTCTTTCTGTCTGTAATTAACTGAGATAGAAGATCATAGAATCATGGAATCATAGAATGATTTGGGTTGGAAGATACCTCAAAGATCATCTAGTTCCAACTCCCCCCACCATGGCAGGGACATCTCCCACTAGATCAGGTTGCTCAAGGCTCCATCCAACCTGACCTCGAACACTTCCAGGGATGAAGCATCCACAACTTCCCTGGGCAACATATTGCAGTGCCTCACCACCCTCAGGGTAAAGGACTAAAGAAGTCCAGAATTTGCTGAAACCCCTGCCCACTCCCATCAAAAGATAATCCCTTCAGATTACTGCTACTTCATAAAGAAAGTGACCTTAAAACACTGCTCAAAAAGAATATCTCCGCAACTCTCAAGACAAAA